GTGCTGAAGAATCGAACCCAGGGCCTCATGCATGCAAGGCAAGCGCTCTACCACTGAGCCACCTTCCCAGCCCCCTCCATGAAACTCTTATCTCCAGTTAACCACCAGAAAACAAAGTGGCACTGTGGTTCAAAGTGGTAGAGCACTAGCCTTGAGCAAAAGACCTCAGGGACAGTGCCCAGGCCCAAAGTTCAAGCCCTAAAAGTGGGAAAGAAAGAAAGAAGAGAGAAAGAAAGAAAGAAAGAGAAAGAGAGAGATGGGGAGGGAGGGAGGGAAGGAAAGAAGGAAGGAAGGAAGGAAGGAAGGGAGAGAGGGAGGGAGGGAGAGAGAAAGAGAAGGAAGGAAGGAAGGAAGGAAGGAAGGAAGGAAGGAAGGAAGGGAGGGAGGGAGGGAAGGAGGAAAGAAAGAAAGAAAAACTGACTCTGCCCCACACCTCCAGAGGAACCAGCCCTGTTGGCATTTTGGTTTTAGCCTGCTGACAATCACTTTGGATTTAAGTATTACAGAATAAGAGGGAAATAATTTGTGGTTGGGCATGGTGATGTAGACCTATAATCCCAGCACTGGGGAAGCAGAGAGCCAAAGTTCTACATAGCAAGACCCTGTCTCAGAGAGAGAGAGAGAGAGGCGGACTTCACATTGTTTTAAACAAGTAAGTCTGTGGGTAATGACAGCTACTATGGGAAACAGCAAGGAGAAGAAGCTAGCGGCTCCGCGAGGGTGTGGAGATAATTTTACGCATGTCCCCCAGAAGGAAGTGAGGTCCTCAGAGTAGGTGTTTCAAGAGAAAAGGCCCAGTGCGAGGTCCCTGGGGTGTCGCCCTGGCAAGGATTAATGTAGCTCTTTTTTTCAGTTGGTCATGGGGCTTGAACCCAGAGCCTACGCACCGTCCCTGAGCTCTTTTGCTAAAGGATAGGACACTACTACCACTTTGAACCATGGCACCACTTCCAGTGTTCTGATGCTTAGGTGGAGAAAAGAGTCTCACGGACTTTCTTGCCTGGGCTGGCTTTGAACTTGGATCCTCAGATCTCCGCCTCCTGAATAGCTAGGAGTACAGGTGTGGGCCACCAGCATGTGACTAATACAGTTCTATTTAGGCCTCTGGCTAGTTCTCAGAGGGCAAGGCTGAGCCTGAATCTCCCCCGTTTCTCGCCTCACCACATCCTCTCTCCTGCATATTCTGACCATGATGATGTCTGCCATGTGGTGGCGCAGCCAGGTGGGGAGAAAGACTCGCAAGGGGCAGATGAGGCCATCCAATTCTAGGCTTCCATCTTCCAAAACTGGCTGAAACCAACTTCTTTGCTTTGCAAAGTGTCCAGCCTCGTGCATTTTGTTACTGCAGCAACAAAACAAAATGAATATGGCCCTCGTCCAGCAACAAAACAGGAGCCAGGCCCCGGATTAGGCACGTGAGGCCATGCACCGGCCAGGTGTAGATGTTAAGTTCCATGAGGATGGCTTCCATAACAGGCCCATCAGAAACATGCAATTAAAACAAAACAAAATCAGGTGCCAGTGGACCGTGCCTCCTGAGTAGCTAGGATCTAAGGATCGCGGTTCAAAGCCAGCCTGGGCAGGAAAGGCCATGAAACTCTTATCTCCAATAAACCACCGGAAAACCAGAAGTGGCGCTGCGGCTCAAGTGGTAGAGTACTCACCTTGAGCTGAAGAGCTGAGGGACAGCACCCAGGCCCAGAGTTCAAGCCCCAATCCTCCCCCCCCAAAAAAAAAAGCACCTAGGGAATTAATTCATAAAGAAAACTCTTTTAGATGATGACAGAACGTTGCTGAACCACAAGGGAAAAGCAGAACGTTCTATGTCAAGAGATAAGCCAATGTGGGGACTCAGCAGGCTCTTACAGAACGTGTGTACTTCCTCTTACTGCTGGAAGGTGGAGAGGATGCCAGCAGGAAGAGAGAGGCGGGCACCAGCCAGGGCAGCAGGGGGCAGGGATGGGGAGGGGCAGGACTGGGAGGGAGGGGGGATGCACAGGGAGCCCTCCGTGGATGGTGGACTGGATGTGGAGCAGAAGGAGGTGAGGCTCAAGTCTCAGGACCAAAGAGAGGCAGAGTGTGTGACCCTTTCCCAAACAGCGTGTCATCCGATTCTAACTCTGGAAAACAAAACAAAGCAAAAGAAAAAAGAAGAAGAAAAACCTCCACGTTGGAGGTTTTATTTTATTTTTACTCTTTTTTTTTGTCAGTTGTGGGGCCTGAACTCTGGTCCTGGGCGCTGTCCCTGTGCTCTTCAGCTCAAGGCTGGCACTCTACCACTTGAGCCACAGCACCACTTCTGGTTTTTTCTGCTTATGTGGTGCTGAAGAATCGAATCCAGGGGCCTCATGCATGCAAGGCAAGCGCTCTACCACTGAGCCACCTTCCCAGCCCTTATTTTATTTTATTTTTGTCAGTCCTGGGGCTTGAACTCTGGGCCTGGTGCTCTCTGCCTTCTCTCACTGAGGCCACACAGACCCCACCCTGTCCCCCAGCACCTCAGGGGCCCCGACTCCCCAGGCTGGCTGCTCTTCTGCTCCTTTTCCTTCCCGTGTGCGACCATGTCAGGAGGCTGCCCTGTTTCCCCACTCCGCGTGGCTGAGTGGGGCCAGAAAGTACAGCGGCTCGGTGCCAGTGGCCCACACCTGTAAGCATAACTGCTCAGGAGAGTGAGGTATCAGATCCGCAGTTTGAAGCCAGCGAGGCAGGAAAATCTGTGAGACTCTTATCTCAAGTGAACCACCAAAAAGCTGGAAGTGGATCTGTGCCTCATGTGGTAGAATGCCAGCCATGAAAAATAAGCTCAAGGACAGTGCCCAGGCCTTGAGTTCACGCCCCAGTATAGACAGACAGACAGGCACACACACACTCACACACACACACACATGAATCACAAGTACTCAGAAGCCGGCTGAGGTCAGTTATGAGTGGGAGCCTTGGCCTCTTCCAGTAAGGGGCCCCGGTCCCAGCAAGGCTGTACCCTGCTCCAGGGCGCTCCTGACACCCCAGCCTAGCCTCCACCTCGGTGAGCAGCCACTGTTTGGGGTTTCTAGACAAGTTTTTCAGGTGGAAACTCCAACAGGAAGCCCTGGCCTACAGAACCCTGCCCACAGACTCCACCCACTGAGCTCTAAGCCCCGCCCCCAGCGCACCAGCCCTCTAAGACCTCTCTGCCCTCCCCACCCACTGAGCTCAAGGCCCCGCCCATGGCCCCGCCCGCACCCTTGTCCCTGAAGCCACGCCCACGGCCCCAACCCCAGGGGCATGAATCTGGCATGCGGGGAATTAACAGAGGTCATCAGAAGGATGATGCCCTGCCCTGTCCTGGGATCCCTGTGCACCACAGTGATCCTGGGCATGTTACAAAAACAGGGACCAGGCTGGGAAGGTGGCTCAGTGGTACCGTGCTTGCCTTGCATGCATGAGGCCCTGGGTTCGATTCCTTAGCACCACATAAGCAGAAAAAGCCAGAAGTGGCGCTGTGGCTCAAGTGGTAGAGTGCTAGCCTTGAGCTGAAGAGCTGAGGGACAAGCGCCCAGGCCCAGAGTTCAAAACCCATGACTGACAAAAACAAAAACAGGGACCATTCAATTCTTTCTCAGAAAAGAAGGCATTTACTGCAAAATGGGAGCCTTTTGGAAAAGGCAGATGGAGTTTGTGTGTGTGTGTGTGTGTGTGTGTGTGTGTGTTCAGTCTTGGGGCTTGAACTAGTGACTTGGGCTGTTTCTGAGCTCCTTTGCTCAAGGCTAGCCCTTTACCACTTTGAGTCAGAGCGCCACTTCCGGTTTTCTGGTAGCTCCACTCCCAGCTTTTTGCTGGTTAACTGGAGATAAAGAGGTTCTCAGAATTTGTCTGTCCAGGCTGATTTCCAATCTTGATCTTCAGCTCTCAGCCTCCTGAGTAACTAAAGTTACAAGTGTGAGCCACCAGTGCCTATCCAGACAGAGTTGTTTTTTTTTTTAAAGATTGGAAATTCAAGTCCTGACTTGAGATTTCTTTTTAATAAGTATTACTCTATTCCTAAACCTTCACTTGGAAAACCAGAGGGAGCAGAGACGGCACCATGCATGGTAGGCAACTCAGCCAAACACCACCCAGACCTTTACCCCCTCGGGAGTGGGGGGTGCTCAGCTTCCTAGGCAATGAGGAAATACAAATTAAAACCAGGACATGTGCTATCTCCCTTATCTCTTCACACAAAATAGAAACTCTGATATGACCAATGGAATATGGGTTAAAAGAGGGAGATCACTACCAGCCCCCTGGAAGGCAATCTGGCCCTGGCTTTCCTTCCAGTGTGGGACAGCAAAGAGATGAACCAATATAGAGCCGCGGTGGGAGCTTCATCTCAAGTTCATGACTGCACCATCCATTCAGCCTGGGCTGTCTCCCCTGCCTGGGCTCGGGCTGGCTTGGCAGTTCCTGTCCAATAGCTGAGTCTCTCTCCCTGCCCACCGCCTACTTGACTGGCTGCTAGAAGGTACTAAGTTTTCCTAATTCAATTTCCCAAACTCAGGCCACCCACCAGGAACAAATGCCCATCACAGGCCTCAGGCCCTCAGCCCACACCCCTGGCCACCTGGCTGCCCCAACACCTGCCCCTTCCCCCTCCCCACCTGGCCACGGACAGCAGGTGGACAGCTGAGGTAGGGGCCAGGGGCCAGCAGCTAAGAGCCGGGCCAAGCCAGTCCCATCTTCTGATGAAGGGGACCCACCTCTCACGCATAGGACCCCACCAGCCTCCCCTGATCTGCCTGGGGACCCGAGACAGGCTCTCAGTTCAGCCAAGATGAATGAATGAATGAGTGAGTGAATGGATGAGTTCCCCAGATCTGCCCCCTCCAGTCAACCTCCCCGCGGTGGGCAGCTGCATGTTCCAGCGCCCCAGATCGTCCCACCCGGGGGCCCCATCCCGCTGTGCGCTCGTGTCCGCCCCCACCCCCCCCCACGCGCCCCAGACCCACTCTCCGCGCCCCCACCCCGTCCCTGCCACCCCGTACCTGCGGGAAGGCCCGGAGCGTCCCCAGCAGCAGCAGGGGCACCGCGGGGAGGAGGGCGCGCATCTCGGCCCTGGGCGCTGGGCAGGGCCGGCCCACGTGCCGTCCCGGCGCTCGGAGCGGCCGCGCCCGCCGGCCGGACACCTCGCTGGCACCCAGCCGCACGCTATGAAGTCGCCGCAGAGCTGGCTGCCCACTCGGAGGGCTCAGCCTTCCTCCTCCGCCTGCGGGCGGCAGCACGAAGGCGGCAAACACGTGCGGAGACCAGAGCTGCCCCAGGACCCTGCGACACTCCCCGGGGCGGTTTGAATGACCCGCCCCCCACTGGGGCGGGAAGAGCCTCCCAGCCTGGACCTGGAGGTGGGGCTCCCGAGATGCCGGGGTCCTGAGGCCCCAGCTCCACCTCCACCCCAAGGAAGAGAGGGACCCCAGCAGTTTCTGCTCTGACACTGTGGTGAACCTGGACTTCTGTGCCGCGGAGCTCCTGTGCGAGAGACCGCTGGAGTCTGGAGAGGGCAAAGAAAGCAGCCACACCCACCTGCCCCTGGGGAAATACTGCCGAGGAATCGTTCTGGGTGGGTGGGGAGGTGGGAAGCTGGCTGGAAGGCTGGATAGGTGGGTGAATGGATGGATGGATGGATGGATGGATGGATGGATGGATGGATGGATGGATGGATGGGTGGGTGGGTGGATGGATGGGTGGGTGGGTGGATGGATGGATGGGTGGGTGGATGGATGGATGGGTGGGTGGGTGGATGGATGGATGGGTGGGTGGATGGATGGATGAATGAGTGGATGGCTGGGTGGGTGGATGGATGGATGGATGGATGGATGAGGGGATGGGTGGGTGGATGGATGGGTGGATGGATGGATGGATGAGGGGATGGGTGGGTGGTGGATGGATGGGTGAGTGGTTGGGTGGGTAGATGGATGGATAGATGGATGGTGAGTGGATAGATAGATGGATGGGAAGGAGAATGGAGAGATAGATAAAAGGATAAATGATGGGTGGATGGATAGATGATGGATAAATAAATGCTGAATGGATGGGTGGACAGATTGATAAATAGATGGATGGGTGGGCAGGCAAATGGAGAGATGGATATACGGATGGATGGGTGGATGAACAGACAGATGGACAGTGGGTGGTTGGATGAATGGATGGGCAGATTGATACATGGTGAAATAGATACATGAATGGATGGATGGATGGATGGACAGATGGATGGGAGTATGGATGGGTGGACAGACTGCTGGAGGGACTTAAGGACAGAATAGAACATTTTCTTACCAATCCATAGGTGTTCCCCTGTCCCTTCAGGTATTCTACCTGGAGGAGGTAGCTGGATCTCTTATCTAAAAGAAAGAGGCACCATCAATTGCATTCTGATTTGTTTCTCCTCTGGATGGGGCTGCTATTCCCTTCCACTGTTCCCCCATGCCATGGCTTTTCTCTTTGTTTCTTTCATTCTACCTTAGATGCACATTAATTTACCATTCCTTGGGTAGACCACAGGCTGAGAAAGCAGCTATCCCCCCCATGCCCCTTCATAAATACTGCTGAGAAATTACTCTGTGGATGGATGCATGTATGCATGCCTTCATGCATGGGTGGATGAATGGGTGGGTGGGTGGATGGATGCATAATGGATGGATAGGTGGATGGATGGATGCATGCATGCATGGATTGATGATGGATGCATGCATATAGATGGGTAGATGATGCATGTATACATGCCTGGGTGGGTGGATGGACACATGGATGGATGGGTGGATGAATTCATGGATGGGTGGGTGGGTGGATGGATGGATGCATGGGTGGATGGCTGGGTGGGTGGGTGGATGGATGGATGGATGGATGGGTGGGTGGGTGGATGGATGGATGGATGGATGGGTGGATGAATTCATGGATGGGTGGGTGGGTGGATGGATGGATGCATGGGTGGATGGCTGGGTGGGTGGGTGGATGGATGAGTGAATGGATGGGTAGATGGATGGGTGGGTGGGTGGTTGCATGCATGCATGCATCCACAAAATGCATGCATGCATTTTGTGTTTTCAGACATGGAAAGCAAGACTGAGGAAGGAGCAAGCTGATCCTCGTGGACTCTAGTAACTAAAGGTGGTCCCATTGCTTTCCTAAGCCTGGTTGTTCAAGGATCTTCTGCCCTTGGGCACAGACACCTCCCTCCAGAACCTTCTGGGCTAACTCCACAGTTGACCAGTCCTTGCTGAGCAACTAGGGTATTCTTTCCCAGCAGCCACTGTAGCCTCTGCCCTGCAGTGACCATGGAGGTCAGCTGACCATGACAGCCACAGAACCATGGAGGGGCAGAGGAGCCTAGGATGCTGGCTTGCATGCCTGACTAGAGCCTCCAACCATAGAAGAGCTGGTGTTCTGAATAAACAGGCACTTGTGAAACACACAGAACAAAACAACAGCATCAAAATAGCTTACGAAAGGGGAAATACAAACAAAAACTGATTACAAGTCGAGTTTGATCTTTCTAGCAATCGAAGACATGCAAATTAAAGTAAATCTTCCATATTTTTTACACCTATTAGGTCATCAATGGGTTTTTTCTATTTATAAAAACAATTTTTGGGGGGAAAATCAAACCCTAAAATTCTGGTAAAGCCAAAACACTCATTCTTAGTCTGCTAGTAAGAACACTCATTCTTAGTCTGCTAGTAAGTGGCACAACTGTTTCCAGAAAGCAGTACAGCAATTCTTAGCAAAAGCAAAAAAAAAAAAAAAAGTTTACAACAACTTGTGGCTCAATTATTTCACCAGTAAAGAAAAACTAGGGAGGTTTGGGAAAATGGCTTAGTGGTAGCGTGCTTACCTAGCATGCATGAAGCCCTGGGTTCAATTCCTTAGTACCACATACACAGAAAAAGCCAAAAGTGGTACTTTGGATCAAGTGGTAGAGTGCTAGACTTGAGAAAAGAAGCCCAGGGACAGTGCTCAGGCCCTGAGTTCAAGTCTCC